GATGATTAAGTACATAGACACACTATTAGACAAATATGTGATGACTAAGTACATAGACACACTATTAGACAAAGATTAAGTGACGAAAAAAGAGCCAAACATTAATTTCATCAGAAAGAGGCTTTTCTTAGTGTTGCATTTGTCGTAATCAAAATGAATCATCAAGAACAAGTCCCTCTTCTTTTGTGCAACATACTAAACTCATTTAATTTTGTAAGGACATTTATATAGTTTTATATTTTACTCTCTTTTTTATATAGCGGTCCTTCATATTTCATATATTTTTATTTTTTTATAAAGAAGACTAGACTATCTTGTCTCTTGATTTCCTGCAAAATGGCACAAAAAAAGACAATAATTTAGGTTTATTTTTCTTTGTGTACATGAGATATTACGTAATGAGTATATAACTCTGATATGTACCTTAAAAGCTCATATATAAATCAGGATTCTTAATAATAAAGCGACCCTGCACAAAATATAATTGTTTTTTTTATCAGAAATTAAAGTGATAAATTATGCAAAGGATGTAAAACGTACCTTGTCAATAATTATAAATAAATATTTAATTTTGGAAAGGAAAATAAACGTTACCTTCCCACCAGTTTCCTCTTGATGCGCTTTTGGAATCGCCTTCCTCTCCATCTTTCTTGTACTGCATAGGTTATCAAAAATAAAGGTGAAAAGCCAAAATCTTGAATTTAATAAATAGACTATACATACATGTGAAGAATATAAGTTTTATCATGTGGGTGTTATGTATGATAGATGCGACTACGACTTACAGTATCTTGGGTGGTAGTCGATGTAGAGGAGTATTTCTCTTGGCCTCCATAGTAAATGGATGAGCTCAAGTTGCATGGTGGTTCTGTTTCTTCATCATAGTAACTCTTTTTCTCCTTTCTGTTTTTGTTGCTCCTTTCTCCTTTTTCATCTACATATGAACCCCGCAACCGTACATAAGTTTTCGATATGAGAGAAAATACAACGTTTAATAACTAAGAAGATTCTTGTGACCAAAACAAAAATAACTAAGAAGATTCCAAATCGAAAAATACATTCTAACTTAAAGCAAAAATAACCATGTAAAAAATTAAAGCAAAATTTTTTTTTGTCATTTAAGTCGTTTACAATATAACCAGTCAAGATTGAAAATATATAGCGTTCACAATTTGGCTTTTGAATTTTCTTGGGATAAAATGAACATAGTCTAGTTCTAACATTTTTTTTTACGGAAAAGAGCTCATGAAAGTTTAATTACTTGGAGATTGATACTTCACATGTCCACCTTGACTTGCAAAGTCCACTTGCCTCCTCAACATCCCCTTTTCATTCACGACAAGAGAAAATTAGAGGGTAAATCAACATAATTTTCATATTAATCTAGAGCCCGTAAACACCATATGTATATGTAACATGCATATGCTTAGAATGATTCACCTACGCCTAAAATGTAAAATCTTGAGATAAAATACCGCAGAGGGTGGTGGGAAGATGGATTTGAACAATCCAGTGGTTGATGAAGAAGATACTCTTGGACCAAATAT